ATTTACTCGCTTCAGCAAAAAGCACTTCAAATCTCATTTTAAAAAAGAGCACCATTCATTCTACGCTATTTTCAGCGCAGAACTACTTACAGCGATTGAGCACTTACATACCTCACGTCCGTTATGATCCACACCCGTTTGACGATGTTCATCTTCTTCATCACGTAGTCTCTTTAGTAACTGAAATGAAATTCTAAAAGCTAAAATTCCCAATTCTAACTAAATAAAAATCCCAATAAAGTGAAAATCGCCAGTTAGTCACATACTCTCTAAACATAGAACTGTACACTCCAGTTAGTCACATACTCTCTAAATACACGTCTCGAAACATAAAACTGTACACTTCACTTTCAACAAGAGTTTGCTATATCCCAGCTGATAAATCAAAACTCCGAAGCACCAACCTTAATTAGGTCCGAATGTACTTCGGGATCATCTTCGGACAGTTCTCTGATTTGATTATTATAATGTTGCGTGATCAACTCTTCTACAGCTACGGTGCACGCCATTGCTGACTTTTCACCGAGTAGAGCTGTGCCCGCACCTTAAATGCGCACCATCAAAACAGTTCTCTCGAGATATATGTGAGCAAAAGACATACCAAGTGCATATGCAAATGTACTAAAAACGGGACTGAATATGGAATGCGCAACGTCGTGTTTATGCAGCAATCGTTCCATAATACGTAAATGCTCACGTTCCTGATCCCACATATGCTGAACAACTGACGACGTTGAGGTCTCTGAAGTTAAACTGAATTATCTCTCTTCAAATTTAAACCAACTATCATCAAATACTTCAAAGATAACAATAATAACAAACGGCACGTATTCTGAAAGTAAAGGTAAAGATGAAAGGCTATCCTTAACCAGTATCAAATGCTGATGTTAAAAAAACTTCAATGAACCCACTCGACAAGACAGCCATTTGTCCGGCATAAATGCGATCAGCACCCAACTCACCAGCGTGATCCACTCGGACGATCTTTTCAATCAATTTTTTACGAATCGAATTCAGTTGTGTTTGATTGAGCTGCTGCTGTGCTAGTCTAATTAGTGAGTATCGCATTTTATCGGGAGTTTTGTTAGTTTATTATTGTAGTCTGGAACATGAATTTATGACTCTGCATTTCATTATTTATGCAAGCAATCAAGTATTTCGGGTTGGAACGATCGCCTTGTTCATCAAAAACGAAGTAAGATCACGAATGGAAACACTTTTACTCGAACACACCCAACCATATTAATATGCCCAACAATTTCAATACGCCTTCTTGAGTGAATGAACCACTTCAAGATCAACGCAAATCAAGAAGGAATGAACACGATCAACGAATAAATAACAACGAATTAATAAGTTAGCAAGTAATCAACAACAATATCACATTCATTCATCTGTTCGTATCCCATCAACGAACACACAACTTATTTCATTAATTATGCAAAACGAAAACAATGCTCACAAAGGCGATACGTAAAACGAAACAATCGAATTGATTGATCGGTATTTACTATAGAAAACTGATATGTGGACAACGAAACAGGAGTATTATTTCCCTCAAAGATGTATTAACACAATTCATCAGTCACAAATAACACTGTCTTGAGGATTACTGACTTCAACTGATGTCTTGTCATTATTGATGACAATAATTCGGCAGATAAGACTTTATTTGT